ATACATACATGCATACATACATACATACATGAATGCATGCATGCATGCATGCATACATACATAAGTCATACATACATACACACATACATACATACATACATACCTGCATGCATGCATACATACATACACATACCTGCATACTCACATAGATAGATAGATAGTTAGATAGATAGATAGATAGATACTTTCATTATACACACATATATATATATATGTATAGATAAAATGTATAGATATAACTGATTTTAGGCAACTGAATTTAGACATAGCTCTAATTGCAAGTACAGTTATAATGATATGTATGTGTATATATGTACACGCATATATACACATAGTTATGTGAATGAATACATATATGTATGTATGTATGTATGTATGTTACACTGATGCATATGCTGCCTGTAGCCCCAAGCCTTACAACGACTATTACGACCCAATAGTATAGGTCATTAACTGTTAATTATAAACTAGATCTAGACCTACACGTTTGTTCTACAAACATTTCTACGTCAAGCTGACACTGATTACTTAACACAAGGTGAATCTGCGGACCGCACACTTCCCGTTGACACGTTGCGTGTGTGTTGAAATTCTGAGGCAATGTCCGACGCAAGAGACCACGAAGCATGCAGTGAACAACCAAAGCTGCAGATGTCGTGCCTGTCTCCATGTCGTATCATGTCGTCCCCTCTAAGCCCTCCGACTCGAACGGTCGCACGCTGGGCCCGGTGCTCGCTATAGGCGTTGGCATCGCCCTTTAGTTCTGCCTCGCGAGCAGCACCAAGGTCCTCCGCGAACTTGCGGCAGTCCTTCGCACACAGAAACAAGGCACATCAATTACCTAGCCAACAACGGTCACCTGATTGCTTTTACTTTTTTAACAAAGTGCACAGGCCACAAGGCTTGGGGCAGCATGTGCATGCATACAAATCCAATTCAATCTGCACGCAACCGCCCGTCCCGGCGATGGTCGAAAAATACCTTGCGCACGGTGGGGAACTCCTTGTCCAGGTCACCTGCAATAAAACGAGCCTTGAAGTGCTCACGGAACACAGCCGCGGCTAAAACCACATCCCATGCTGCAGCGTCCGCTCCAGACTGACAGGCAGTGCCATAGGAAACTTAAACTAAACACTATCCATTGACCTTGACCGAGGCACACTCTTGACGAAGCGCGATTACCAGCTGCTCGTGTGTGTAGTAGGACTCTGCCTGCAGTGAACACGTGTCTCCAATTCATTACTCAAGGATTCACCAGGCTGAACGACAGCCAGTCGGCCAAGTGAAGCGGAGATTAGTCTTGTCTGTCTTCACCTGCAGAAGAGTCCACGCACGGGTCCGAGCAAATCTGCAGGCACGGCATGAAGCCGTCCGTTCGGAACGCCCTTCAGATCGATTTGTCTGAGTGTGGCTGAGCCCGAAATTTATAAGGATCACAAGCACAAAAGTTCGTGCTAAGCCAGCTCATTCATTCTGCATCGACTCAACCAGGACCACGAAGCAGAAACTCGGGCAACGTCCGACGCAGTTCGGACCCTGCCTTCTTGACAATGGCCTTGAGCTGCTGCGCACACTCCTTCATGTAGGCGCTCAAAGTCTCCTGCACCGGCCATCGCAGGAAGCGCATCTGAAGGTGATGCGACGAAAAGTAATGCTGACCAGCTTGTGCTTCCGAACATTCTACACATGTGGGAGCCTCTGCCTCGATCACTGACCTTCAACCTCAACCTGTATCCGCACCAAACCCATTCAATATGTACCTTTGTATCATCTGTCATCCATCGCAACACCAGGTTTTGTAAGGCCAGGGCATTGTCGACGGGGCCAATGGTGGTGGTGGCCTGCGGAGATCTGCTGGAACGAGCACGAGTGAGCACTTTGAGGGCGACCGGGAGTACAGCAGGGTGCCCTGGCTTCCTTGCAACGTGGAGGTCCTGTAACCAAGTCGGACCAGAAAGTTTAGGTGGGCAGTCGCCAGACTAGTTGCTTCAGAACTCTGTCACCGAAAGTGTCCGTGTGCGAAAGCTCGGAGTACCAAATTCAAAAACAAAGATCAACTCAAAGAACTTTCAAGCCTATACTGAGGCTCCACGGTAGTCAAGTCAGACTGCGATCCGAAAATGAAAGTCCATGTGGTCGCAGGGTCGCACAGTCTCTGATTTGGGGGGATGCTGCTTGCTGCTCTAAGCTGGCGCGTCCTTGTCGGCGCTTAGGTTTGCACACTGGCGACTCAACCTGTTGGAAGCGGATCACCTCCTGTCCTGCTGTTCTGCATACACAAAAGAAATTTCCGAGGTCGCAGAACTGAACGATGTTGTCTATGATATCGCCTTGGAACATTATTTCGCTCCGCGCCTTCCTCGATCAACTAACGGCATCACACAGTTTTGTCGCTCAAGAACGATCACTGGCGCTGTCCTTCTGGACGTTGGGAGCATCGTAGACGGACAGCGTTGTGCCTACATTTGCAACTGAATCGTGGAGTCCGACCTATCAGTCTACAAAGCCAGCCACAGCATGGCATGTTGCTGGGGCCCTTGCTGGTTGTGGTGCCCTGGCCGTTGCCTTTGCTGCATGACAGCATGGCTCATGACAGTCACTCATTCTATTCCCTGTTCCGCTTCTAAGCCTCTACTTACCAGTAGAAACACAACCAAGCTCAGAATCCCTGTTGCCTGAAGCTCTCGACATATCAAGACCTCTGTCATGTCGTATCAAGTTCTTAGAGCATTCAGGAACGCAAGACAAGACAGGCACTCACCGTTTTTGAAGTTATGGAAAAACCGCGTCACGACGAAATCAACCAGATCCCAAAACTTCGTGGTAAATAACAGATTCGATCACATGCCCGAGCCACTATCGGCGGATTCCTCCGCTTTGTCCTTCTCTTTCTTGTCGGCAACTGCTTCTGCTGATGGTGCTGCTGCTGGTGATGCTGCCGGCGCAGCTGCAGGTACCGCTGCTGGTGCTTTCTCCTCGGTTTCATCGGGCTTCTCTTCTTTTTCCTTGGCAGCGTCTGCTTTCTCGGACTTCGCATCCGCTTTCTCCTTGGCAACTTCCGACTCTTTTTCGGACGTCTTTGCTTTCTCTTTGGTCTCATGCTTATCCTTCGCAGCTTGTTCTGAAGTTGCTTTGGTCGGCTTGGATTCTTCCTTTGCCGTCTCTACTTCCTTCTTGTCGGTTTCCGGCTTCTCCTTGGTGGCCGCCGCGTCCTTCTTGGGGTCCTCCTTGGTGACCTGTGTCTTGTCCTTGCTTGTCGCCTCCTTCTTTACAGTTTCCTCCCCCGACTTCTCGGATGGCTTGTCTGCAGGAGATTGCTCCTTGCTTGAGGACTCAGCGATCTTCTCTGCTTTGGTGTCCTTGTCGGACGATTCCGTGGTCTTTACCTCAGCTTCGGCATCGAGCAGTGACGGCTGTGAGTTTTGCACCAGCAAAATCAGCAAGACACTGACATGATCTGAGACGGCAAAAACGGCTCGCTGAAGGATTGCTATACAACTGGGCTAGACTCATGACCGTGAGGGAAAGCCGAAGGCACTGCGGAATCATCGGTCTCCTTCTTCGCTTTGTCAGCGGGCCCGTCAGCAGACAACTGTCCAGACTCGCTATGTTGGCAAGTCGCACAGCAAATTACGGCTCAACATGCAGCCCCAGAAACATGCGACTACCTCAAGTCAACGGCTCATTACAAATTCATGTGCACAGAGAGAGACAGAGAGAGAGAGAGAGAGAGACTGAGAGAGAAAGAGAACAACAAAAAACAAGCCAAAGAAAAACACTGCTAGAGTTCCAGTGTTCCGATAGAACAGACGCGTGGATGGGTACAAGTATCCCTGCCAAGTGCGCTGGCATATGCTCAGGTCATTTCAAGTTCAAATCCCCGCAAGCCTACCCGCACATCGCTCCGTTCATCATCATGAGCATTCATCCAACCAACCATTCCATGTAAATTTTCGACTCTAAACCCCTAAATACGCCATAACCCTGTAAAACCCTCCTTTAAACTTCTCTGTACGAGTTAAACTCCCCCGCCAATCCTTGCATACACCCGCCTTTGACGCGGCCAGAATCAGAAGTACTAACCGGGAGTAAACGCGGCACCACTGCGGCGCACCCGGACACACCGGTAACACACACAGAGAGGGTCGTCATTTCAAGGCGACTCTGCGGCCAACGTCTTGGAATTTGCAAGGTGCTTACCGGAGGACGATGAGGGCATCAGAAAGGGGTTGTTCTGTCCCAGGAAGGCGCGTGACGGCGACACACGTGCAGAGCCACTTACCATGTGCCGCGACTCCCGCAAGCCCAGTGTTAAGCTAGTTAAAGAACACCCACAATAAAGACGTAAGGGCCGATCTCCCTGAGACCACACATCCTGCCACGCACCATCACGGATACAACCTCATATCAACATCATCACACTATGCCATCCAAACTACGTGTACGGAAAAACCCTTTGCCACGCTCTCGGGAACAAAGAACCAACAATCCCAACACTGATAACAAGGCATCGTGCAAACTATAGTTATCCCGACAAGCAGGCGCATGCGTCAGCTCGAGAAGCTCTTAGATGCTTCCAAGCAGCTGCCAAGTCCTCGAGCAAAGGGCCTGCAGGTTTGACGCGCAGAGAGCTGGACCTCACATGCAGGCGGATGGAGATATGCGAAGGCTTCCTGCACCGCCTCACCCTTTAGATGCAGCCAAAATGCCGCATTGCAACCCACACAATGTAGCTCGGGCTTCGTACAACCTTGAAACCCTTGAATCTCAAGACCCTGCGACAGGCTTCAGGCCTCTTGAAGCGGCTCCCGTCCACGAGGGAGAGCAGTGCCAGAAAGACCTGAAATTCGCAGTGTCCATTTCTGCGGCATCCGTTGCTTGGAGTCTCATGTTACTTCCGCTTAGTCTAAGAAAGGGCCGGGTTTCGGTGCTTATGCAGTCGGACTCTGCCGCATCTCGCCTCCTTAGGCCTCCAGCATCCTACAGCCGCACCATGTCTATAGAGCCTGGATCCCTAACCCCGAAGAGAGCAAGGATTCCGGTCTGCCACTCCCCTCCAGAGCGCGTCTTGAGATCATGCAACTATATCGACATGTATAACTGAAGATTCAGATGAGCGAAGAAACATGAAAACAGAAGTTCAATGTAGCTCAGAAAATATCGTTCTCAACACTCAGACGGAACTATCAGGACGTCCAAGCAAAGACTCAGTACTGCGAGACATGCCCGATAACTGTATACCGATAACAGCCACAATAGTAAGAGTAGAGTTCATGCTGTGAGCGCTGCTTGCAAATCATAGCAGATGCAACGATGACTAATCGAACCAGGATTGAACAGTCCGTGGTCCCTGTGACAAAGTTACTGCTAGGCTGGCAGTCATCATGATTATTGCTCAGTGCAGATAAGCGGCCAGGGAGAACTTCATTGTGCGATGTTCTGTGAGCTCGAGCGGGCTGCTGGTGCCGTCCCAAGTGCTCGGGCCAAGAACAACTGCGGGCTTCCGACCGGTTACTGAAAGTTGACTAACTGACAGGATAGGCTTGCTTTCGGTGGTTTCGTCATTGTTGGGCGAAAAGTGGGGGTTGAACAAGCATTCCTCACCATGTTCAGGAGCGTCGCTTCAGATTCGTCTCGCTTCTGCACCCCAACGGCACTCTCAAATGTAGTTGTTCAGCGAACAGATCTGAACAATATATCATGCTTGAGAAAAACATCGGCTCATTGCTGTGCCCGCTTACCAAGCCCGGGACTCCGTCCCTTGGCAGGGGGGACTCTTCGGGTCCACCTGCATCCAGAGACGGCATCGGATTTTTGAGTAGCTTCCTGGCATGTTGATTCGCTGTCGCGTTTCGAACACTAACCTTCATCTTGGCCGGCAAACATGCCTGCCTACCTGGACCTCCCTACCAAACATGTATGTATGCACCATACTGGAAGTGGGTTCGCCAATCGTGCGGAACTGCTCCAGCCTTGGCCACAAGGTCAACTCGGCCGCGAAGAGGGTCGCGGTACTTCCGAAGATCCTGAGGTTGAGATGGTGCAGAGAGACTTTCGCCAGTCACCGGGTACCCTACAGAAATTATGCGACTCTCATCGTGATTCACTGGGAGTGGTAAATAAGAACAACCCTTACACCCCAAAATTCCGGAAGCAAGAACACTTGCAAGTACATGAAAGAACTACCATCTCCACCGAACTGTTCCAAGCACATCAAGTTGCTGAAACCGCCTTCGTGCCGCGAGCGCCGGGATTTCCTAGCACCCATGTCCATGCCTGAATCGCTGCCTCTTGAAGTCAGAAAGTCTGTCCGAACTCCCTATACCACCCCATGTTAGGGTTTCAGGCCTAAACGCTTTTAAGCCAGGGGCCAGGGGCAATGCCAGGGCCCCCAAGGGCGCCTCGTCGCTCCGCAATCGCTCGAAGCCGGCCCAGAGCTGCAAACGGCAAGTGAGCGGCGGCACCGCCTTCTTCGGCTGCTGCAGTTGATCTGCGGAGTTTTCTACCCAACTCTATATGGTCTATATGTATGAGACAGCCCGTCTACACGCACAGCGCTGTGCGTATGTATGTATTCCGCCTCCCAGCTTGGCTTACAAAAAGTCTAAACCCTGAACATAAGATGATGGCCTTCACTTCACGAGAGCTTGCGATCCTTTTCGCGAGAGTCCAGCTGCCCCTACCTTGAAAATGAATTCCGAAACGGCCGAAACTGGTACTGTATTCATCGTGGGTTTGTCTCGTACGCTGGGTATTCAGCACATGAGAACCAAAGAAATACTGTTGTCTCAGGCCGCACCTGAAGATTTCAGTAAGCAGTGTATGGATAATGCTAGGCCTTGATACCAGCCCCACAGGCGGCCATCGATGGTAGTAAAAATGATTGAGGCAGTAGGCAACTGCACAAAAACAACAAGCAGAACCGTTTAGGAACAGTCACGATGTGACTAGTATGAGTAGTAGTAGGAGCAGGAGTAGGATCAGGAGCACGAGCAGGAGTAGTAGTA